AAAAAAAAGAACACTCACCTAATAAATAAATATAATAATACCTCCCCTAATCTTAGCAGGCGAACTACACGACCATTTAAACCGACAATCAAGTCACACACCACAGCAACTAACCCTTACAGAGCTTACAAAACTAGACCACAAAACCAAAAACTGTAGCACTCAAACCACCTAGACGGATCTGGCAAGGTGGTCGTTCTCGATCTAGAAGGACAAATTGTAAAACCAACCGACTAACATATTCAACTCAGTAGGAGGTCAAACTTAACAGTTTTTGCCCGACCGAAAATCATGGTTTTTTATTTTTCATTTTTTATTTTTTTTTTACAATTACATGGTGTTTTGTAAAATCAACTCAACCACGAAACTATTTCTCAATCTGGAGCATCTACATGACAAAATCTCCAATTATTCCTTCAAACCGCGCAAACTCTTGGCAACATTTCTCTCGAGACGCACACATACATAGTAGAGAATAGAACAATTATGTCGATTGGGAATAAAAACTTACCTCAATATATCCACCAATTTCATTAACACCTCTCTTAGATCTCCTCATTCAAATTTTATAAAACATCATTAAGTAGTCTCAACCAATATACAAGTATGAATCAAACAGTACAAACATAATTATTAAATTTCTCTCACAAATCAACACCTTGGACTTAGCTTCCACAACCCCCAAACTCCCCGAACCCAATTTTCTTATTCACCACGTCATACTCCATCCGAACATCCTTGAACATGACATAACCCAGGATACTCCCGGGCCTGTTCATCAACCCCGAATTCAGTATTCCTACGCAACTCACACCATCTCCCACATTAACCATCGCTCTCTCCATAGGAATCACCATCTCGACGCCCCCATCGAATTCGAGCCCCAAGTCACCGATCGCCTGGGCAGCCGCCGTAACATTGTTGCCTCGGAAGCACATCTCGAACGATTGGCTGCTCGTCATGTTAAACCGCGCGCCCGTCAAACTCTCGACTCTCGTCTTCACCTCCGCGTACGCCTGATCGACCAGATAGGTCGGTTCCGTGGCGGAGTCGATGATCGTCTGGCCTGAGCCGTTGGCGTCCGGCCAGAAGGCCGACTCGCTGACGTTCAGTTTCGTGCCGTTGATTCGGATGGCGACGAGGTGGACGGTGTAGGCGTCCTTGTCGAGACTCGGCCTCAGTTCGGCCTCGTCCGGGAACCATGTGAAATCGATTCGTTTGGTGACGTGATTCGGGTTGTTGTTGTTGTCGTTGGTGTTATCTCCTATGTAAAAAAAACCGAGATTGTTGGAGGATATGCAGTAAGAAAACTTGGAGATTCCTAATTGGGATACTAATGAAAAGTTTCCGAGGTTCATTCCTAAGATTCCCTGTGCCCCGCTGCTGTCGTTCACAGGTGAGCAACCGAGGATGACGGGAGAATCGGAGTTGAAGGTGAAGGTCTCGTGGAAGAGGCTGCCTGAGATGGACATGCTGTCGGCGTAAAAGATGGAGTAGGTGCATCGTAACTTGGTGCACGTCGGGGGCACGAGATCGGGATTGGAAGTCGGGCAATCCGAGTTGTTATGGCAGAGGACAGGGCGGTAGGAGGTGGAAAGGGAAGGGATAAAGGCGGACGAATATCCGCTGGACGGAGACTTTTTGGGGGCGCAGTGGGCCCACGGCAGCTGGCTGCCGGTGTCGAGGACCACCGGGACGAGTTGAGGTGGGGTGCCGATGGGGAGGGACACGATCGGGGCCATCGACACGTGGACCGACGACTTGTACTTGTGAGATGATGATGACGACGTGGCGGCGTACTTAGAAACAGAAGATTTGGATAGTGAGCCGAGTGCTAGCCGGAAAGATTGTGACCTCGCCGGTGGCTTTTTCTCGGTGGTGGTGGAATCGCAAATACAGATGAGTGTAGTTAGGAAAATGAGGAAAAGAGATTTGCAGGAAGCCATTTTTTTCATGGAGAAAAACAATAACGACAGTTTATTTATTTATTTATTTATTGGGGGTAGAAAATGAATGTAATTCGTTTTGTTTCATTTATTCGGAGTAAGAGTTAGTGTATATATATGAGTGTGTGTGTGTATGTATGGTTTTCAAGGAGGGACAATGTGAGGCCAAAACACGGAAACACGCGGTTTTCCAGCTTTTGGCTAATCACTATATAGGATAAAGTATAGTTTGTTCACTAAATAGCATCTTGCTTTTTTCTAATATACGGTTTTGTGGTGGAGCTATCATATGACACGGACTTATGCAATCATCTAAAATTATTCATAAATGGTTGTGTTTTATAATAAATACATTTTAGACAGGTGACAGTCCATCAAGTTATGCATGACTCCGTACTAAAGTCATCTGCCGAATACATAAGAGTTTCTGCCACGTTTTTTTTTTTTTTTTTTTTTTTTTTTTTT